TTTCTATGTGCGCATTTAACATACGCTGAAACGGGGAAGGAAAACATCGCGAGGAAACCGGCTCGCCTTAGACCCAAAAAGTCGACAGCGTGTTTCAGGCACAGGAGGCTGATCACCTAATTGCCTATTAGATAATTGATATTTGATCATGAAACAGATACAGAATTCTGAGGCCCACAGCTAAAGGTTGTACCCACTGATTTATTTATTTTTTGTATTACACATTTATTATTTAGTTTTATTGTTAAAATAAAACTTTTTTAAACACGAATATATAACGCTATTGGCATAAGTTTTATTTATGTGTATTACTCGTGTAAACACTAATCAAATATTTTTTTAATAATCTAGTATCAACTTATCTGTATGAAATAATTGTAGGAAAAAAAATATATTATTAAAACTATTAAAATTTGGAAGTGGTTATTGACTTATATAAAAGGGCATCCAGTCGACCATATAAAAACTTTTTGGAAGTCTAATCAGTGTATAATTACTCCTTAAACTCAGACGACATAAAACGTTAGCCGTATATTTTAATATTAAAACCGCCACATTGTTGCATGCTAAATCGATTTGCGATAAGGGGCAAGTGTTCGTCGTATCTCGTTACTGGGGCGGTGCTGACATTCCTGCGTGCTCTAAACTGTGTCACACACTCAATATTCATTAACTTGATCGGGAGCTTATCGCTTTAAGCTATTTCTCTGCTCGATTGAACGAGGAACTACTTGCGATTGGTGTTATACCTAGAAATCAACGATTTAAGGTTGAGGTTTTAATTAAAGACAATAAAAATCTAACAAATTTAAAATTTAGTACTACTTACCATGACTTGGTTCGTTTCACATATAGTTTTAATAATGCAATGCGTTTTTGTTATTTTTAATAATTTGATCTGTTTAATCTGTTCTGATCTGTTGTTGTTAGCTTCTCACATTACAACTTAGAATGTCATATGCTTCATTGTAAAGATTTCGAATAATATGTGGTATTCCTACTACCAAAGAAATGTAACGATGGTTCCGCTGTCTGAGTCTTTCCTAAACGAATTAGTGTAGTAATTAAGCTTGGTATGCAGGCGTAGGTCGGTCTCCATAGATATTCAACTTTTATTACCCTCTAATAAACATTTAATTACCACAGAGCACGAAACCATAAAATCTGTTTTCTTTATTTAACTTTCATCGGTTTCAAATTATTAACTGTCTTACATCCTTATTTATAATGAAATTAAATTGCAGTATTATAATTGAATTTATTTTGCATGTTTATGAATAAAACTTATAATATTTTTATTATGTATCAAAAAATGTTTTTAATGAACAAGCGGCAAACGGGCGCACCTGATGTTGAGTGATACCACCGCCCATGGACAATCTTAATACCACAGGTCGTGAGTGCGTTGCCGGTCTAAAACGGATCAAACGAGGAAGCCCTAAGCCCAATAAAGAGATAAAGATTGATGATACGACAATTTAGGAGACAATAGTATATTGGGCGGATGAATGGGATTGTTTCTGTGTGTTTGATTAGTACAATAAATCCTTCAGTGCCAGCTGTTACTGAACGAAAATAAAGCGCGTCATTAAGTAATATTTGTAAGAATTATATTCTTTAGATTTTCTTTGTTTAACCAAAGACTATGTTTATACAGTTTCCATTTAATGGTGAGTATTTGATGCTCTGTTCGAATGACCATGAAAAGGCTTTTCGACATTGTACTCTTTACAAATAGCGATGTTTATGTAAAGAATATCCGCATGTATACTACTAAAACTGCAATAAGATACATATAAAACATATTAAAGTATAATTTATTTATTTTAATGTTACCACAGATACCAACACAATACAAAGACAAAAGTAATTGTCTTTAGACACTTTATTGCTGTTTCGAAATTCAAATATAGACTTCATTCTACATTTAACAAATGACGTTTGACAAAATAGTTAAGGGTTATTCGATATTTGCAACGGATGCAGATGTGGCGGTAGTCATTTACAAGCCGCAGGCGCCGATTATATAACGTGCACTTTATTCATTCAATTGGAAATACGACTACATTATTTCCATATGAATAGTGAATAGAGAAGAATCTTAGGAATTTTAATGATGTAACGCTTTAGAATGTTCACCCCTGTATTGCACAGTTTGTATAACTAGGAGGGTCTAGTTTAGATTCCTAACGAAAAAGATAAGATAATAGAAAGGCACCGAACAACGAAAATTAACAGCGAAAAAAATTGGTTAAAAAAATGTGTTCCCCATGTACATTGTGTAATTTTACATAGGTAAACCATAACCTTGTTTACCAGGGTAACATTAAATAAATAAGGTATGTAAAAGAGTTGATTAACACATAGTCAATAAAAACAAGCAACGACACAGTTGTTGGATCGATTTCCCACAAGATTTCACTGTTTTATTCCCTATAAAAACGTAATTAAATTTATGGAATGTATGTGCGCGTGCAGAGACGTCTGTTTAGGGGATTATCTACAAGGGACAGGGAATCGAGTCAGCAAGTGCGTAGGGGAAATTGAATGCACGCTTTATTGCATTTATCATCTATGTAACACAGTGACGTGAAAACTTTTTTCTGTTATTGATTATTTTCAAGTAAGAATACTCACAGAATGTATAGCTTTATTGTCTGTGGTTTACGTTTATAGATTATACGAACAATATTCTCATCAATCTTTTGACATCAATAGGTAAATTGTCAATACGGGAGATTATAAAATCATAAATGATATTTCTTCTTTCAAAGATTTTTATTCGGAGGTTACAATTTCTTGTAATATTGCTAATGTTATTGCTTTCGTGTCTGACACCTGTCATCGAACGAGTATGGCATAGCTATTAATTTAGCATAAGCTGTGGTACAATCATGAACAATAGAATTATAGTCTATAATCTGGGTGGTCTTTATTTTGAATTTGATTGGATTCTGCTAATAATATATATGAAAAAATGTTTAAGATTGTGTTATAATGCATAAACCGATTTATGCGTCATCTGCGTAAAATTTTTCGAATCTGTGACACTCCCCACGTCATCTTCAGAACGCTTGGGGTGCTTAAAACCAGTCAAGTGTTTTTAAGCTTTATTTGCATCAGATTATTAGCTCGCATTATATAGGGGTTGTTATATAGATACCATTTAGAGAACATTATTGTATGTATGTAGTTGTTTTCAATCTTTAACTTATGAATTTGTCATTTTATAAAAAAAAGGGTGCTTGTACTTATGTACGCGCGTAAGGAGTTATACTTCTTTGGCATTATTAAAAATAGTTTTTGATTGCATGCCAATAATTAATTACAATTAAATAATCAAATACTGGAAAAGGAGTCATTATAGTCAATAAAGTTCAGTTTACATTTGAAAAATTAAATAAATAAATATTTATTATTATACTCTTACATTAAGTGTAACATAAATTCTATTATTATTCGAATGTTGTTTTTAAATTATGTCCAATGCCGTAGCATCTTCCGTGGGCAACTTCCTTCTGTTAATTTTGTGTCACGGTGCGCGCGCATCGTAAAATTTCACTCTCATCAATTTTTCATAACGCGCCTAAAGTAGTATAACTTCAAAACTTATATGTGACTTTTGTAGACGACAAGTAGTTCTAGGTACATGTTTATTGTTTAACCTATCCTTCACCTACAAAAAACACACAGAGTAATAATTTAACTAATGCGGGCTCTGGCTTGCCTAATTTTGCTCAAAACTCTTGCCAATTGTTTACTGAAGAAACACTTAAATTTAAGCACTGAGTCAGTCTGTGACGTGAGTAGGAGTAATGACACGACGCGCCCATCATGCCCATATCGGATCCATTATCAAGTTAGTCAAATGCGTTTGTTATCGACTTGCAGGATGTGTGTTTTGTAAGGACTATTTTTCCCTTACTGGGCATGATTAAAATCTATGTAAAAATTATTCATTAGACAAAAATATATAAGAACTAGCGTGGTAAAAACTAATATCATATTACAAAAACAACAAAATGTAAGAAACAAGTGGAATATGTGGCGTTGACAATAGGTGCGGACGGCGTATACACATGTCATGCTTATAATTAATAAGTTTAGGAAGATAAATGTTTCAAAAAAGCACAGCAAAATAACCTAAGAAAGTCTTAACAGAATGCGTTTCCTGTAAAACGGATGGGCGATCTGAAAAAATATCAAGTTTGCCCGGGCCCTGCAGTCGATTGCACATTACTGCCATTTTCTTATATGTTACTTTCAGTAGCAGTCTAATAATTGTACAAAATATCGAGTACAAAAAACATTTTCTGCGATTATGTATAAAAGATATTTGGTATGCACATTACTGCCATTTTCTTATATGTTACTTTCAGTAGCAGTCTAATAATTGTACAAAATGTCAAGTACAAAAAACATTTTCTACGATTATGTATAAAAGATATTTGGTAGCGGATAGCAACATTGCGTACATCCTATTAATAAATTGTAATAAAACGTATATAAAAAGCTGACTAGAAAATCCTTTGTGCGGAGTTTTTGCTCGATGAATAAAAACTAATATCGCCTTGGGACTGGGTCACTCAAATAACGGCTTCTGAATCAATGTTTGATATTTGATCGAACCATTCAATATTGCATTTCAGGCTAACGCGCTTTACGAAAATATCTGTTTAAGTACTTTGCGGTAACTATTATATATATTATATGTATGTCTTTTAGAAATGTACGAAAGACTCAGTATTGTATATAACTAATTACTATAAAGTTAACGATTATCTAGTTGATAAAAGGGCCTGGGACTGGTGCTAGACAGGCTACTTCTAATTAATTTGCGTTATTTGTTTTAAAATAAGTGTTGTTTGATGATTTGCTATTTTAAAAGAGTACCTACCGAGAGTTTTTTACGCCGGCTTTTTCTTTCGGCCTGCACCCTTCTTTGCCGATGAGTAGGGTTAATAATTTAACGACGAGGTGGAATAATTGATACCTGTATCTTATGTTTCATAATAAAAATATATACAATAATATTCGGTCCAAGAATCGAATACAGGCGAAAGATCTTTTGAGGATCTGGCGTCTGGACGTATACAGTATGATTTGACTTGAGTTATTTTCCTATATTCCCTAGATGGGGCAGAGTGCGTCCACTTAACTTCGGACCTCGTCAATCCAATAGGTCGTTCCTCGGCCACCACTGAGCGTCGCCAGAACTGCTTAAGGCGGTCATGTTTCCTTTTTCCTTGGGGAGTCCAATCTAGTGCCTGTTTGGGGTTGTGGTTGGGCTCATACATCTCTACTTGCGACGTAAGATCTAGTGGTCGGTTGGCGTTTCCTAGCACCTTTTCTGTCGTTCATTAGTAATCTTCTCGGGCCTGGATTCGTTGCGTGGTATTTTTCTCACACAATTGAAATTCTTGATTAATTGAATATCATATGATGGACAAACAGAAGCCTCGGTCCGACAGACTATTAATCAATATGTCACCGGTTCGTTTCCTCATCCAAAACGAGTCGGTCCTTATCGCCGTCATCGATCTGACGATAAATTCTAGATAAATTCCCACTTCAACTATGACAGAGTTCAATATGGTTTTGCGCTGCAATGATTTTTATTGAAACCCGCGATTTCATCTATCTGCAACCTGCTGTCAATAAACCAAAAAAAATATAAAAAAAGCCTTTAAACCATAAATATATCGACAGATTCTCTTCCGTCCTTATATGGGTTAGTAAATCTCTTAATCTTTAGACTTAGGTAACATTCTACAGACCATAGAGAAGACATTCATAGACACAATAGAGGAACTTAAAGGTACGCAGCTAATCACAGCTCTTCGAAGATAACTTTGCTGTGAAAGGCATTGTGACAATGTGGCAAATTGCAATGTTCATAATGAGTGCATAAGTGTCTAGCGAGGGCCGTGAAGCACTCGGCTATAATTATAATCTGAAAATTATTTACACGTACTCTTTGTAGTTCATTCTATAACGCACTGCACTAGAGTATTGTTGCTTGCCTGTGTCAATTGTAAACTACTTTGACAGGCGCTTTTAACTTCAAAAATACTGAAAGAGAAGTCACAATTCAACGTGTTAAAGTACTTATACTACAGATTAGAAATATTCTATGATCATTGTTTATGTTCCAAAATAATTAGGTAATTGTATCAAATAAGTAGTAGTGAATACTACCAAACTTATATTTTTTATTTATCAGTTGCGCTACAGCCTTTTTTAGGTTTGGGCCTCAGATTTCTGAATCTGATTCATGAACATTTGTCAATCTAATAGGCAAGTAGAGCTGATCAGCCTCCTGTGCCTGACACATGCCATCGACTTTTTGGTCTAAGGCAATCCGGTTTCCTCACGATGTTTTCCTTCACCGTTCGAGCGATTGTTAAATGCGCACATAGACATAAAGTATATTGGTGCACAGTTTGGGATGGAACCTACGGCCTCAGGGATTCACACGCTGAAGCCAACACGCTCTACTAATCTTACACCGTTTTATTTTAATGATTACTTGACTTAGTAAACTACACCTAGAAACACTTTTATTCCTGTACAATTCCAAACCCTTTTATAAATAAGACAATTGTTACTAATCTATTTTATCTATCAATTCATTATTTAATACATACATTCAATATTTACCGATTCACCACCGACATAAAGATAATAACAAACTACAACAACGGTGTATAAAAAATCATTAATAATTTGTGAGCACTACGGGCGCATTGATACAATTGCCCATTCATATAAAACACAACCACATACTTGAAGATTGGAACTTAATTAAGGCATGACCCAGCAATAAACTATTGAGATAGAGACGTTAATTACAAAGGTTTTCGGACAAAGAACAAACGCCTATGAGGGCTCAAAAGTATCTTAATTGTTGTATTAGGTCTTTTTAAATGATGGTTACCATTGTTTGGTTGCAAGGGGAGTCGGTAATGAGTTGGCTAGGTCTAGCTATATAAAAATGAGGGAGGTTTTATCCCTGTCAAGAGACACCCGGGGGGAGTGAAGACCGTATTGTTGGAATATCATTTTGTGGATATTCGGTACAGAGAAACGTCGTTTCTAACGGGAGAATATTAATAAAAGTGTTGAGAAAAGTGTGTACTGTGTACGGATTGGTAAAAAGTAATTAACATGAGTAAATGAGTGGGCCAGTGAATGCCGGATTGAGGTTGGTAATTTGAAAATGCAGCTGAATGCATTGAAAGGCAATGAACGTTTCGGTGAAAATTCAAAAAATTTTGCTTCCTGATTTTACAGGATGAATGTATTGATTTTTTACTGCAGTACAGTTTATCATTTATAAAATGCAATTTTGGTTGCTCGGGTTCTATAATATTTGATAGGTATTTATGAATATAATCTTTACAATGTGTGTCACATTTAAATTAAAAAATAACTTCGCTATAGAATTATAACCTCGTATGTCCAGAGAACCAAACATTACAGGAAACGAAAAAAATGTTTAATTTCGTCAATGTTCGTTGAAATATTATTATGTGTTTTTGTCCAAAGTTTTAGATGGTAAAAGGGACTTATTTATTAATAACATAAATAAGTCCTTAGTTCATGATTATACCAGTTAAATGACATAAGAGTCTAACAATAGAAAATAAATGGTTTTTAGACATACGAGGTTATCATTCTACAGCGACGATAATATGCTTTGTAGAAAATACAATTAATATTAAATTTGGTTTAATCAAAGAAAAGTTAAAAAGAATATGATTTGTAAAAGTCGCTTGGTATTAATCTACCGCCTAGATACATTAATTTGAGGGTATTTACATTTCTAATACATTACCTTACTTCTAAACTTAATTTAGAGTTACAAAGCCCCAATTCCCGCTAAGCCACAAAGTTGGAATTCGAGTAATACAACTTAGATAATAAAGGACTATTTGGGAATTAACTTTGTTCCAGTTTTATTTATTTGAACATCAAATCAACCCACAGTTACCATACCGAGTGGAAAACTAAGGGCTACCAGTAAAACAACTGTTTTGTGGACGTGAGTATCGTTACATAATAGCACAACCTTTTCCCCTATTTTTGAGTTACCGGAAAATAGGTAAGAATATTAAATAACTAATCTAATGTCTGGAGGGCCTGGGATTTAATAACTTTAGCGTTTAAAATAATTTTTATTATTTTTAAATATGTATACATATTGCATTTATAAGCTTACAATAGCTATTGGATTGGACTTTGTTAAATATTTTTTAAATATTCGCCTCCAAGATCTTTAATCCAAACCGCCTCGCCAAAAATATTTGGCAAAATATTCAACTAATTCAACTGCGACTCAGTGAATATTTTCTACGTCAATTTTAAGTTAATAATGTGATGTTTTCAATTCAAATATGGCGTATACTTTGGGTACAAAAAGCGTTTCGACCATGATAGTCTTACGTAATTCAGTATTATAAACGATTTTAGTCACGCACTTTATATAAATTTATATTTCATTAATTTTTTAGGTAAAATTAACTTAATTTAATATTAGAAATTTTATAAAATCAACTATGATACCAAACTGATATTATAATTACTAATAATTACGCATTTAACATAACATAAACATAAAAAAATTAGAAATAATAAGTGACACAAATAATGTATTCCAAACAATTATACTCGTTTAAACAATACAAAAAACTATATTGAATTGCAAAAAGTGCGAAAGGATGTTAATAAAAATACGTCTGAAAATCTTCATCCTCATAACACTAATGCCTGTCTCGGAGAATGGAACATCTGTGTTGTCAAGGGTGGCACGTAGAGTCATAATGCATTATGTACCGTCTAATACCGAATTTATGTCCATTTCATACCCCTTATATTATTTTCACAACCAAATTGCAACAACAGGTCGTAAAGCGTCTTCGTCATCCATTATATTGTGCAATAATGTATCACAAAACATAAATTTGCATTATCGTTACAATTTGAGTAATCGCTGAACTGACAGATGACATATTTTGTAAGGACAGAGAATTAAAACAATATAATCTATGGAAGTATAAAAATATCGACAGCGAAAGATTTTTTTAAATGGAACCGATAGGAACGTGCATAGTTAATCGAGTATAATAATAATATTATGCATAAAACAACCTATAATAATATATTTTTGTAATGAAAACCCCATATTAAGTTATTTTTTTTCGAAAGAGAAAAGAGAAAATCGAGAAAATCGCATACACGCTAGTCTATTATATAATCCAAGGTTATTCCTATAGGTCGTACATCGACTTATTTTAATACATGGAAATAGCAAATAAGTTTTCTATAATACAAATTCAGACATTTGAACAAAATATTAAACCAACCAATGTGTGATTGACCTCGCAAATTAAGGGTCTAAAAAAATCATAATGAGTTATAAACTGTGGTTCACAAAACACACAAACACACAAACATTCCGTCAGCTCAGATCTATTCCAAACTAAAGTACTGGAAAATCAACACAGATTTATTTGAACAATTACAGTTTAAAAGAGAATAATCGTATTTATAGAGACGGCTAGTAAATACTTACCGCGTACTTATTATTGTATGAAATCGCAAAATTGTGCGATTATTCAGACACTTAACAATCGAAATAACGATTGCTGCCCCTGTCAGTCTAACTGTCCACTAACCACAATGCAACGACGGGATCCAGACACTTATAAAGTAAATTCTTAACTCCAATTTATTTGTCTTTTTAGCTGTTCATTGTGCATATGCTAAAATGGTTGCGCGGATGGGTTTGATATATGCAATGTTCTGATTCTCAGCGAAATAATAATATTCTCGTAATTTCGTAAAACGTTACAGAAATGTCTCCCATAGTTACAAAAAAATCATAATACTGCAATAGTTTTTATACAAACCCGTATTACATCCCTCGGACAAGCACAATATCTGTTGCAGCCGCAGAACAGGCGGAACATAATTTTTTTTATCATAAATGTGGCGCGCGAGGGGAAAGGCCCCTGTTGGCCCCTAGTAGCCACTACCGCTGACCCCAGAGCTGGTGCTTTCTTCGCTCAAAGAATAAGTATCGTAATACGGCGAGGATATGCTGCCAGCATAAAAGGGACATACAACACCAAACTTTTAAAATTAATATTCTTTTTATAGATTTTTAATTACATAATTATTACTTTGTAGGTTAGGAATATTGTATATTTATATCCAATGAACATTATTTTATACAAATAGTTTTTAATGACAATTAGCTGGATGTAAAATTATAAAACTATAACGTTTCGCTTGA